CGCGCCCCCCCCCCCCCCCCCCCCCCCCCCAGACCCCCCCGTCCTCTGATAAAAATGCAGTTCACTTTGACAGACACTACAGTATCCATCGGTGTGTGTGTGTGTATGTGTGTGTGTGCAGTAAGCCGTGGAGGAGGACTCCCAACTCCCAGTCAAGTATCTGCACGGCAGCAGGTTCAAAGGAGCACATGAAGCCCAGAGTCGAGGCTGGAGGAGCAGAAGAGGAGCTTGAAGAATGTGACAGCAGTAAAAACAAGTCGGTGTCTGCTGGAGGAATGAGCCCTGACTCTCTGACGTCTCTGTCAGTGCAGCGAGAGGCAGAAACTGGAGCCTTAAAAAAAAAAAAGATGATTCAGATTCATCTGGAACTGGTGATGGATCTGTTTTAATCTTCTTCTTCTATTTACTTTTCTGTGTTCAGTCATGTTTTGACGTTGTGGCGTTGACCTTCTGAAAACCCCAACTCTGTCGGTCGGTGTTTTTTTTACTCAGTATAATTAACGTCTGACGTTGAAAGCCTAATCTTTGATTCCAATTTTGGGTGATTGCTCTCAGCTGTGTTTTATGGCTAATGCTTTCAGCTGCTGCGATCATCCTGCCTCAGACGGCAACTCAACAAAATGAAGAAGGAGCTTTGATGCTCGGTGGACGACGGGTTGTTCTTTTACTAAAGCAGTGTCAACAACGACAACAATGATCCATCCATCCATCCATCCATCCATCCAACCAACCAACCAACCAACCAATTGGTTTGTCATTTTTTCTTGTGGACAGAAGAAAGTTTGCTCGTTGTAACTTACAGGAAAATGATTCATTAATCTTTCATGTCGTTAAAGGTTCACTGGAACCAATCACAGGTCACCGATCCATCATAGCAACAACAACAACCATTCACACCCACATTTACACCTGTGGTGAATTTAGAGTGAACAATTCACCTAATCCTAATCCTAATCCTAATCCTAAAGTATGAGACTAAGGAGACAAAAAAAAATATAGAGAAGTCAAAAACACAACATTAATGAGATGAACTAACAAACCAGCAGAGCTAAGATTATAAAGAAAAAGTCAGGGAGGAAATGGAAGGAGTTTCCTGGTCCAGTAAAATCAACGCTGCGAGTTGACTTTTTTTTTCTT